TATAATGTTGTGATGTTCTGTACTGCCTGTCTTTCGAACATTTTAGTTTATTTGCTTTGCCAATCGAACACACCATGGTTCAAAAGTATAATAAGCGTTTGATATTAAAATAAAAACACCGTCATGTTTCATGACAAAGAACTTTAATGAATTTTATCAACGCAAAAGTATTTGCTGTGAATTATTATCAAAAAAGAATATTCTCTCGAGTACTTACCACACTGGGGAAGATCAGTTGTTTGCATAATATTTAGAGTCACTTATTCAATCAATACAATCATTCACATTAGCAAGCACTTTTAATTTTAGTAACACCTCGATATAATGGAGACAGATACGTACATTTTGAATTCAAAATGAATCGGGATGTGCACAAGATAGTTTTCTCTTGATGGTTTTTTCAACGTTTCAACGTTTTCGCTGAAATAATAGACATATCAATCAACGTATATTAAAGCACAGGTATAGTATTCGCTATAATGTTAAGGTAGTGGTAGAAAATGAAAAAAAAATGCAAAAACTATTTATAGAAATTGCACAGAAATGTATGAGATTCCTGCAACTTTGTCCTATTTCATTTTTTCTGAGTATTTTGAAAATAAATGCACTTTGAAAATATCAAGCAACATTTATGTTATGGTTGTCACTTATTTTATTATTTCTCTTGACCCATATTTCCAAATCATTTCATTTTCGGGACACATCCAGTGGATGGTTTTTCTAATAACTGGCAAATAAAATTAGGTCAATATTTTGAAAACAACAAAAGCCGAGCGGTATGAAAAATAGCCATTTTGACGTAGGACTACGTCTTTGATTTCTATATGGGGGTACACTTTGTGAAAACCGAAAATGGAACATGTTACAAATTAAGAAAGATTTTGAACTCAGCTGCCCCTGGTCCAATTTCAATAATTTTATCACCAATCGATCAGAAATATGGCTACGCATCGATAACAGTGCTTTCAAATGTTGATTTTCAACAAGAAACTTTTGAAAAACTTGTAAATGTCCTGCATTGTCCAAAAGCATCGAATTAACTAACAAATCCACCAATTACCTACATGCATACGCTGCTTCCCCAACACAGTCGTCAGAGAGTAGTAAGTAGACGAAACAAGTCGAAGTGACATTCGCCGCCTCCGATCCTCCGGCGCGTGCGAATAGGGAGGATGGAATTGCTTAATATTTTGCACACTCATCGCCATATTCAGAACCAAACGCAAATTCTTCGAGAAAACCACCATCCGTCGTCTGGCTCGTCGTGGCGGTGTCTGACGTATCTCCGGTCTGATTTACGAGGTGTGCTGAAGGTGTTCCTGAAAAATGAGATCCGTGATGTTGTCACCTACACTAAACACACCAAGCGTAAGCGGCCATGGATGTCATCTACGTTTTGAAGTGACAGAGAAGCACTTTGTTTGGTTTCGGTGGTTAAATCATCACCAATTTTGGCAACAAAAAAGCTCTTTTCAGGGCCACCAAGCTTATTACAGTAAAGAGAAGGAATAGAATTCATCTGCCTGTTTGTCCATATTCAGAACCAACGACCACACAAAATGCTCATGTAATCAAACTGGAAGCAGGGATACAAATTATTTTGAACAACCTTGATCAACTTTGAATCGCCACGGCCGGATATTTTCGATGGAAGAAGCAAAATCTAGCATCTAATTCGACGAAGACGGCAGAAAACGTTTGTGAAGCCGAGTTATTTACGAAAGAGAGTGTCTATGAAGAGAATCGATCAATGTAGATAGGACCTATTGAAAAGTGACGCGAGATTTGTTTTCCGTACTGAGCTCCAAAGCTACCGACGCCAGGGAGGCAGCTCCCACACCTGGACCCTACCAATCGACCCATCAACTCAACCGGGGACCAACGGCTTTACTTCCCGAAGGAAGGCGTGATCAGAGATGTTATGCCTTAGAACATGCCGGTGGCACCGACTGAGATTGGACCCAAGCCTGCTGGGGTAAGAGGTAATCACGCTAACCACCGGTGCCGATATCTTTCAATGTGATATCACGGCGAATTAGATCCACCCAAATTTGAGTTTAGTTATCTCAGAAATAAGAAATAAAGTGCAGGAACTCAGCGATGAGTAAATTTGCCTCATGTTTTCCCAGGTTTTTCCAGGATTTTCCAGGGAAAGTTTCCCGAATTTGAGAAAAGTAAAGATTGGATTCACTCAGTCTAGTTTCCACAGGAAACCATGAGACAAATTTAGTCATCGCTGAGTTCCTGCACTTTTGGCGATTATGAGTGAACTAAACTCAAATTTGGGTCGTTCTCATTCGCTGTGTACGCAAAATGAAAAGAGCCAGTGTCGCTACTTGATAGCAAACTACTCATAATCGGAGGAGTCTTTGTACCTTTTATACCACTTGTTTGCACATCATTCTGCTTTAACCTGAAGAGATATAAAAGAGCGCTGCTGTATGGCATTAGCTCATTTTCGCTTCGGACGGCTTGGTGAACAGCAATAGCAGCAGTAGGAAGGTGGTGGCTAGTCCACTCCTTCACACCTAATAAGCAACAATTGACTAGTCGTGGAAAAGGAGGAAAAGGTCTGGTAAAGGAGGCGCCAAGCGTCATCGCAAAGTTCTTCGAGATAACCGCCATCGGTCGTCTGGCTCGCCGTGGTGGTGCCAAACGTATCTCCGGTCTGATCTACGAGGTGTGCTGAAGGTGTTCCTGGAAAATGAGGTCCGTGATACTGTCACCTACACTAAACACGCCAAGCGTAAGTGGCCATGGATTTCCTCTTCAATAAAACGGTTCTTTTCAGGGCCATCAAGCTTACATCAGTAAAGAGTTGGAAAAGAATTCAGTCCATATTCAGAACCACAAGCCCCCAACGACCACACAAAATGCTCTCCAGAGTTGTAATCTTGTAACCAAACTTGAAAGCAAGGGTGCAAGTGATTTTGATTTATTCTCTTAATCAACTTTCTCTTTGAAAAAAATACTACAAATTTGGTACGCCTACAATTCAAAAACGGAAAGAGTTGAGATAATACATAATTGATCAATTAAAAGAACTAAATGCTCTTCACATTTATTCCATCCACTAGCGGTCCTACGTCAAGCTTCCGTTCGTGCCCCTAGGCACAGACCCTTCTACTGTTTTGATAATTTTGATACCTTCCGGTATTCTGCTTCCATACTGTTGTTTCAATAAGTAAAATAAAATATGTGTATATTTTTTTAATTCTACATTAAAAACCCTTCAAATTGGTTGATCAAGATCGAACAAAACTTGTTTGGCTGCGAAGTAATCTCAATTCAAAGGTATGATGAAATGATTTTTTGACTGAAATACTGAAAAAAAACCTGTACTCACTCATTTAATTATGTCTCATAAACCATATTCCCATATCCATTCAATTTGTGAACAAATCTTTGAGATGGTTATTGTAATAACTGGAAAAAATTCAGGTCAATATCTCGAAAAACAACAAAAGCCGAGTGGTATGAAAAATAGCCATTTTTTGATAATTTTGATACATTCTGATAATCAGCTCCTATACTGTAGTTTAAATAACACGAATCAAATCAAGGTTGTAGCCTAGATGGTCTCGAGCACTTTAGAGCAAATTCCAAAAAGGCGTTTTTATAGAATGTCGAAAAGAGCATCTGGGCAAAGGTTGGTTGAAGTCGGTGACATTGATCACAACTCTGTACACACTTGAGCTGGAATGACCCATATATAACGTTTGCTCTAAAATACTCTTAACAACATTTTTCATACTAATATCGATACAGCTGGAGCACGAGGGTAAATTTTTAATTTGCATCAAGCCTATATTTTTTTTTTTTTTTTTTTTGATTCTCAATGATGATACACATTAACTAAAAAATATATTAATTTCGTTAAACAAAGTATACCTACGATTTTCCACATTTTTATGATATGTTTCGTCCCATGTTTAGACATTCAGATAACTAACAATTGAGTTTTAATTATTATGATTCTTCATTATCTTCAAACGAAAAGATATTCTCTAGCAGTTTTCATTCTATTTGAATTGAATATGCAAATTGGTAACACGTAAGACAAAGTTCGATATGACTAGTCGTTTTTCAACACACAACTTAGCACATTTTGTTCTAATTAAGTGATCTTAAAGGCAAGTTCAAAGGATAAGGGTTTTAGCCTAAATACTTGCTCATACATATGTGTCTACTGTGGGTGGAAGAAGGTAAAATATATTCACTTGTTTACGTAAGAAAAAATTAAGACATAGACGTAGAATATGATAATGCATTATTTGTAACGACTTACTTTGAATGTTCATTAAAAAGTTATGAGTGGATTGTCAACAATAATTTAAGCATTGCTTAATATTATTTGGATCTTCACGTATCTACAATAAACAATACGAATACAACGTTAAAGAAAAACTTACGGGCTTTTTTGGGTGTCCGTTTAATAAAGTGAAAAGTCCTTATTCACAGCTTTGCCCCTGTGGGCAGTTCTGGTTCAGACGATACTTTGTAGGAACTTATCCGAAACAAATCTTTTCTGGATTTCTAGTATCTCCAGGGACCATGTATGTCCAGTTTCCCCTACTTGAAACGCAGAAAAAATACATTGTAAGCATTTGAATACATAACAACCGTTAATCATCCGTTTCATTTATATCCAACCCACATCAATCAATCACGCTTTAATCGGTTTTCCACATCATCTCTGAATTTGCATCCGCCATGTGCGTGGTTCAATAACTCAATCAGCTTTAATTAGCACTTTTCCGTCGAACGATCTGATCATAGTGACCTTCAGCTATTCGTGGCCCAGTTGTGGGGCACGTGTAGCATCCCCGGGGACTATCGGTCGTCAACATGATAATCACCTTTGCCCCATCAGTGCAGTGCCGTGATGATAATAATTGATTCGATTCTGATTTATGATCAATTCCTTTGGGTTTAGCTTGTTGCTCGTATTATAATCGGTGTTATGTTTCTTTTCTCTTCTATATATTCGCTTTCTACAGATTTATCCAGGACACCGAATGGTCACCGTGTAGCGTCACGTGCGGTGAGGGTATCCGGCGGAAACCGTTCCGGTGCAAGATTTTTCTGGAATTCTCCAAGCGGGTGGCAACTCTTAATGATTCCCTGTGTCACTCGTACAAACCGCTGGACGAAGTGGAACGATGTGTTATGGAACCTTGCTCCTACTCGCATAACTTTGAGGAATCTTACTTGAAGTGAGTTGTTTTGGTAGTTTATTAAGAATGATGTGGTTGACAGATTTAATATATTCCAGGGATGGCAATCGACAGAATTTGGATGGCATAAAAGTTCAGGCAGCTGTGCCGGGTAAAACCTACTCTTGGCGGGAAGAAGGCTACACGAGCTGTAGTGCCTCCTGTCTTGGGGGCGTCGAAGAGCTAATCATCAACTGTATTCGGGATGACACCGGAAAGATTGTGTCTCCGTTTCTGTGTTCTCCGGAAACCAAACCGGAAGCTCGGATACGAACGTGCAACGATATACCATGTCCACCTCGGTGGAACTACTCGGAGTTTACTCCGTGCTCGAAATCCTGCGGGTTCGGGATTCAAACGCGAGAGGTGACCTGCATTCACGAAGTTACTCGAGGGGGCGAGAACACCATGATCGTGCCGAACAGTATGTGCACCACCAAACCTCAACCGGATCGGCAGTATTGCAACATCATCGATTGTCCTGTACGGTGGGAAGTGTCGGAATGGAGCAAGTGTTCAAAGTAAGACTGTTTGATTTTTATCACAAAAATTTGTTTTATTATAAATGCTCTCTTTCAGACCATGTGGAGGCGGAATCAAAGAACGACGAGTCGAGTGCAAGCAGATTATGGCACAGGAGCATAAAGTGGAACGACCCGCGTCAATGTGTCCCAGTAGTAAACCTCCAGACAAGAAGCCATGCAACACAAAGGCCTGTGCTCCGGAGGATCAGCGACCTCCAATCGCTGGCACCAACTCAACTTTTATTCAGCATGACCCCAAGAAGAACAAGATAACTTTGAAGATCGGTGGTGCAGCTACTGTATTTTTCGGGACGCAAATCAAAATAAAATGCCCGGTGAAACGTTTCAATCGTACCAAAATCCGATGGAGCAAAGACCAGACTCCACTGATGAAGTCGAAGAAAATTAAGATTTCCAAAAAGGGAGCTTTACGTATATTGGATGTTACATTCCGGGAGGCAGGAGTTTATACATGTCACGCTGGTCTTAGCCATGCAGATCTACGACTATCGGTCAAACCTAAGCCCGGTGGAGTGATCAACCAGGATGAAGACAGAGAAAGGCATCGAGAAGGCGTAGGGTTGAATGCCCTCAGGGATCATACGTACGTTGCATCTCAAAATAGAAGTGACGAAAAAGGGTAAAGCTTCGATTGTCACTTCCCAAATGACATCCTAAATTTCTGCTTTAAAATTCACAGCGGTAGACGGAATCGTGATAGGAATCGAGGGAAAAACAGACAACGGCAGCCCCCTGATATTATCCAAAATGCAGAAAGTAGTGTAATGGAAGACGAGGTAAGTGAATCTGTACGCCAGATAATTCTTGCAGCTAGAACGTAGAATGAAGCTTGCGCAAATAATAACCTTGCTAATTGTAACTAACCTTTTCCTTTCTTCAAATATTTCAACCGAAAATGAATCTTTCTTCTATTACGCTATATCTCGTTATACATAAACCTACCACATCCGGCTTCGTAACGGCTACTAAAACCTTCCATCCACCCCCGTCGAATTGGCAACACCTATCTAAAAAAAATGTGTCGAACCGCTAGGAGCTATTGAGATCCCATTCCCAAATGACCGCCCTGGACAGTACGGTCGCATCCGATGCGGCAGTAGCGGCCAGTTCCGGCACCCGAACGATGCCGATGCCACACTTCCAGCATCTGCTGGCCAGCCTTCAGGTGAGATAGGCAGTTGCACCAGACTGTCAACGACTTTTTGCTCCCCGTCGCCATCCCGTCCAAGTTTGCCAAAAATGACAAGGCCCTTATTTTCTATCTTTCGGATATGTCGCGTATTTTGAGAAACTCTACCTCTAATGCGTAGCGATTACATGTTTGGCAATTGCATGAACCGAATACTGCATGACTAGTTATAGTGATTTTGAGGGTTTTTATTTTTGGTGAAATTCTTGCATGAGCCAGCTGCAAATCCTGAGGTTTATTAAGTTTTGTAACACATCTAAATGCTTGCATGATACATTTTCGTAAACTTTTTAGGTAATAAGATTGCCTCTTGAATGGAAAATAACTTCACTAATTAACAAACCATTCATATCAAATGCAAGTCAATGCACATGTTCAGAGAAACATCAGTTATTATTCTAGAAACAGGATTTCGAGGATAAGTATTGTTTAGCGATACAAAGGATTTAACATTTTATTTTATTTTTTCGTTTCATAGTACGATTACAGTTCAAGTGTCTCAAACTTCAACTGAGCCGAGTGACTTCGAATTATTTTACAAATGAAATGAAAGAAAAACAAATTCTGCTGCACAGTATGAGTTCTTCCCAAACTTGATGGGAAGTGACTTGCAAACTAATTCTGCTTTCATCTATCCGTTTTTGCTTCTCCTGCGCTAGCCGCTTTGCTTCCACTTTTTCCTTTGTCCGTTTCATCTCCGTACAGCGTTGCCAGTATTCCATATTTATCTAGATTTTCCAGATTTTTAGTTGTCTTGCCAGATACACCGACAGACCACGTATACTTCCAGATTTTTTAAAAATGTTCCAGATTTTTTAAAAATGTTCCAGATTTTCCCAGATTTTTTAACATGTTGCTTTAAAAATATCACTGCAATTGATTTAAGGTGATACTCTAAGGAAGCCTTATCGTGAAACTTTAAAGGCACAAATATCAGCTTCCACAAAACATACAAATTTGAAATTGCTACTCCTTGTTTGCTGTGCTACTACAAACAGAGAGTAGCAATTTCAAATTGGTATGTTTTGTGGAAGCTGACATTTGTACCTTTGAAGTTTCACGCTAAGGCTTCCTTAGAGTATCACCACTCTATAAAAAATAAAAAAGTCAAACTTGCTACTTTAATTATTAAAGGCCATTAACGTTGGACATTATTGGAATTTTAAGGTAATTCTGAAAATAGTTCACAGTTAAGTGTGAGGCGAATTTTTTATGAAATCAAAGGAGAATTTCAAGATACTTCTGAGTAGAATTACATCCATCTTTGTGGGCTTCGCGGTCGTGCGACGTCACCCATCATTTAGGCGTATTGTGAGTGCCACGAAGTGAGGGTACGATTCCCGGTGAAAATTTTGACAACCTAAAAATTTCCCTACTGGTCTAATTGGTGTGGTGTGTTGTCCGTTGTCTAGTGTAAAATATTCAGTCTGTGCCTCTGGTTGAAGAAGGTGTCAATTGTCTTGTCAACTCTGATGACAATCGCGTGGAGATTTTGTGAATAAAGGAAATATAATCCGGAAGATAAATCATAGAAGATTCTTATAATGAAACTTAAGGAGAATGCTGATACGAATCGTGAGAATAATTTCAAAGGAATTCTGTCCAATGTTTCTATGGAAATTAATTTTAATAAAATTTTAAGCGCAATTTCTGGGAGACTTTCAAAACCATTTTGGCAAAGTACTTGAGTGCTTAGGTAATACTGAAAAGGATTTCAAAACAATTCTGACCTTACCTTCAAAGCAATTCAAATGCAATTATCGGATAAGTCTGAGAAGAGTGTACCAAGGAAATTGTTAAAAATATTTTAAGAATTGCAAAGAAAAAAATGGACACAAAATTGAGCCAATTTTTGCCAGTTTGAGGGAGTTGTGGAATTAGAGAGTGATGTATAAGAGATTACAAGAGGTAATGCTAAGAACTCTTAGAATGTTACTGGAAAAGTTTAGATATTTTCGAGATTATTTTAGGGGAATATACAAAAGATATATGATGGAATTCTAGGATGATTCAAATTGAACAAAAAAAAAAGGCGAAGATATCCTGTGAAGAGTTTCAAGTAAATTCAGACGAACAAAGAAATTCATGATCTGGGTTATAAATTCGGGAATTTAGAATCTGATACTTCAAAAATGAAACTATCAGACTTTCATTTTAGTAATAAAATAAAATTATTCTTTGACATAAAATTATTCGTAATGGTCATGCGAATAAAAAAACTGTGTGAGAGTTCCACGATGTTAGGCTTCCGCCTCAAAATAAAATTACCTACTGGTCTGCTGGGTGTTGTGTGTTGTATGATGTCAAGAATTAAACTGTAAACCTGATCAACCTCAGAGTAATATTAGAATTATTTAGAACAAATAAAATCTTTAAATTCTGGTACTGCATCAAAAAGTAAGGACTACATCGACTATTAGTTCAAAAAATCCATTTCCTTGATTCTTTGCTTCTCATTCTTTTGAAAAAAGTTACAGATTTAAATACAATTCTAACCATATTTTCTGCTGTTTGACTCAATTTTTGAAATGCCGCGTAATAGATATTTGAACTTTTTGGGCACACTGTGTCAAAAAATTTCAACTTTTGGATGATTTTAGCAATGCTTACAAGTTATTTGCTCTATATAATTTATTTAAACATGTAATTTATAACCATTCTAGTATAATGAGAGAGAGAAGGATCAATATTAGTCGAGTATTAGTACAAGACACTGAAGAAGTCTGCACATTGTAGACGAAATACGCGTATCTGTCAAGGATAAGCAAATAAAGTAGTGGAATTAAATGGAAAATACTAATCCTTCTCTCTCTCATTATACAGGTATTTCACTAAGACGCCCACATTCATCAGGAACCATTCTAGTACTGACCTATTTTTACGGGAGATTGGCACATCACTTTGATTTCAATAGCATTATGTTAAAAGAGGATTTTTTGGAGCATTCCAGATTTTATATTTTACCTGGTCCAGATTTTTCTGAAAATGACCTGGCAACGCTGTCTCCGTATAGTCTACAATTCCACAATTCTCACGCAACACGAGAAAAGGGCCTATCATTGTTGATCGATTCTCTTCATCAATTTTCTCTTTCGCGAATAACCCGACTGCAAATGAATTTCCAATTGATTGTGTTGTTTCAGGCGCAATCATCTTCTGTCGATCTGTGCTGCGAGCTAAGCGAGAAATTCGTTTATGTTGCCGTGGTAAACCAAAGAAAAAGGCGATGAAGAGAATCGATCAACGAGGATAGGCCCTTTTCAAATGTTACGCGAGAATTGTAGAATCAATTTTCGATGCTTGCAAACAGGCGACTGCATGAAGATCTGTTTATTTGTCGTTGTTGTCCAACGATGTACTTTAAGACAATACACCGGCGTACGTACTACTGCCTCTGAATGATTACATGGGCTTGAGACCAGCGTTGCCAGGTTGTTTTAAAGCTTATCGGTATCAAAGGTATTAAAAAATCAGTATTTACTATTTATTTAATTTTATATTTTTGCCGTTTTTGAAAGCGAAAATTTTAACGATGGTGACGACTGGGATTTGAGGGGAATTGCTTTGTTTGACGGCTTTCTCAGTCTTAAAACACTCTTTAATTTTTTTAATTTAATTTTTAAAATTATCGTTTACGATCTTTTTTAATCGTTCTCAAGTGGTGATCAAAATTGTATCCAAGTAGTGCTTTTTTCAATTAAATATCATTAAATGAAACCAAAATATGGAAAATCAGCAACAACAACGACTAAACTATTGACAATAACGACAAACAATATTTTCCCTTGAAAAAAGCCACAATCCATGGCTGAAATGTCGGGCAGATTACATCGTAGTCGTTGCAGTGTTTTTAGACTGAGAAAGCCGTCAATCAAAGCAAAATTTTAGCTTTTAGAATGTTTGAATTAGCTTCTGAACTGAGCTGAAAAAAAACATCCAGAGAAAGACGAAAGAAGCTCTCTTGGATGAAGTTCGAGAAAAGCTGAAACAACATCCGGGAAACTTTCAAGACACGAATTGAGAAACTTGTGGCGAAAATTTAAATAAACTATCAGGAAAAAAATCGGATGCCACTTCCAAAGGAAACCAGAAAAGTTTCGGAAACCGGAGGTAAATTTCCAGAAGTAGCCATTTCCTGGGAAAAGCTGAAGAAGCTCGTAAAAATCTTCCAATAGATGTCGAAAAAAAATCTTTGGCTCATGGTCAAACTTCCAGAAGAAGACGAAAGAAGTTTCTGGGAGAATTACTTGAACTTCCTGGAGAAGACGAAAGAAACTTCCTGGAGACGCTGGCAGAAACTTCCTAAGGTAGATTGGAAGAAACATCTGAAGAAAGTCGGAAGCCAGTCGAAAGAAACAAGGACATAATTCCGGAAGAAAGAGATTGCTGGGGGATGTTCTAAAGATCCAGACAATTTTCCTAATATTCATAAAACATCCCTGAAAACTTCGCAATTTCCCTGAAGTTTTCGAAAAATTCCTGAAATAAACTTAGAAATATTCCTTAATTCCTCGAAATTCCTTAAAAGTTATTGTAATGTTCCTGAAATTAGGGGCTGTTTTGGAGTTCTCTGGTCATCCTCGAAGCGCTCGGAACTTCCCTGATTATAATGAGATTACTGGAATATCTTTAATCATCTTTGAAGGTCTCTGGAATTTTTTGAAGATTACGAAATCTTTAAGGGCTCTCACAATTTTCTTGAATTTATTGTAACATCAGCATTAAAGTTCACTGAACTTCCCGATTTTTTTAATTTTTAAAAGTTATCGACACTGCCATTAAAAAACATAGACCTTCCCTTAAAATGTTCTCACAATGTTCTAATGTTCATGTAACTTCCCTTACGTTTCCTAAATTGACATGAGCCCCTCAGTACATTGCTGATGTTTTCGGAAATTGCCTGAGTTTCTCGGAACTCCTTTATAATTTCAACAATTTCCTTGAAATGAATTGATTTGTCCTGATGTTCTCTGAGC